CTGCCTGCCCGGCCCTTAACGGGAACTCCCAGCAAGCTGCTTATCCCGAGGCCAAAGGGACTTGGCGGTGAGAAAAGGGAGGTGGGAAGCAGCGCCCGGCCGAGAGGCGCGGGGTTTGTGTCGCGTGTGGGTCAGGCCGTTGGCGGCCCAGGAATCCCTCAGCAGGCCTGTGGGGCTGCGGGACGCCTGTGTGTTCAGTCAGCCCTCCGCTAGCTGAAGCCCTCCCTTCAGGGCCACTTGGTTCTAGAGGAGTCCCCTTTGTTAGCCGGTTGAAGCACCTGGAGGGGGAACTGGGGAGGATAGACAGATTGCACTCAGTGAAGATACACTTAAAAAAAGAAATAAATTTTAAAAACACTCTGAAAAATCCTACCGGTGGGAAACAGAAGGTGGTGTCTTGGTAGGAGAGCTAAAGTTATACAGAAGTAATAGTAGGACCCCATTCTTGTGTGATGTGGTGATCAGTCATGCCAACAACATAATAGTCTTTTGCCCTTGGTCTTGGCAATACACAGTGGTAAAGGTAGGGTAATAATGATTCCAAGTCCATTGGTGCAAATTAAGTGGAAAATCAGGGACTTGATTATGGACAAGGATAGGAGTGTCTTTAACTCAGATACAATCAAAGTATGTTGAACTTGTGGTTTTTTGGTGGTTTTTTTTTTGTTTGTTTGTTTTTTAATACAAGCAAACCAACAACAACAAACCAAGCAAAACAACAACAACAAACAAAACAAACCAAACAAAAAACAAACAAACAAACAAAACCAAACCACAGTAGGGGAAAGGTTTCCTGTCCCAACTGAACAAATAACTGTCTCAGAAAGCATATGAGGCATAAATACTGAGCCTTCAGGGAATGAAATGGAAGAGGACTAATCACCAACTTAAGTCAAATGCAAAAGTCAAAAGGGTAAAAATGAAAACAAATGGAAAATATTACTCGATGATTAAATAGAGAGTGAAGGAAAAACAGGACACTGGAATGGGATAATTAAATAAATACTGCTGTATCATCTCAGCATTGCTCTAAAACTACAAAAAAATTTTGCCGGTTGTCAGTAGGGGTGAGTATGCTGAATGTGATGTTAGAGGCAGAAGTGACTAACAGGAAGGATGAGTTCAATCAGTTTAGACTGGGAAATGGGGATTTGGAAGAGTAGATCGTTTCAGTCCCAGAATTCTGAAAGAATTGGGGTGTTTAATTGAAGATCCAGGAACTGTTTATTTTTGTATTGAAACAGATGCAGAAGACTACAGTATTCTCAGACAGCAATTGTATTAGGCAACTGTATTATTTAGCAGCTTAGCTGGATTGTGAATTAACTGGGCAGTGAACATTGAAGCACTGCAATTGACTGTGTGGAAAGTAATTTTCTATCTGCCGGTGTTTGGTAGCTGGAATATAGAGTTGGGTGAGTGAGACTTTTGCTTTTGGGACAAAGTCTGATCTCCAAAGGGTTTAGGTGCCCTTTGACATGAAGTCTAGGTTGGAACCTCTGAACCAATGGCACAGTGAAGAGACACCCAACTGGCTTTGCATAGGACTAGTCTGAATATGATCCAGCCTGCACGGAGAAGCCAAGGATCTATCTCAGGCTGCTTCCAGCATAAAAGCATAGTCTGAATTTCTGAAAGGGGAGAAGGAAACCTGGGCCACCAGCAGGATGGTAACTTGCACAGCAAGAGAAGATCAAAGATAACAAAAAGTACATGCAGTTACCTGCTGGAATACCCCTTGTATTAAACAGCTGCCCATACAGAAATGCTAGAGTACTTCTGTGTTGTGCTCCTCGATATACTGCCTTTAAGAATGGCGTGTTAGCCCAGTGGCACCCAGCTCAGAATTAGCACTCTGGACTTACAGGTCCTTCTGCAAAACAAAAGCTGCAACATTAATTGAAGCATCAAAATCATCCAGGTTTTCCCCTTCAGTCAAGTGTGTAAGTATTTTGGTGGCAGAAAACTGGAGATCAGTGGAAGAATTATAAGATGAGTGAGCATGTCGTTAAAGGTTATCTATTAATTATTGTTTGTTAAGAAAAAGGGCATTCTTGAGTTGCAAGGAAATTATTATTAGACTTTTGTGAGGAGGCAGATCTTATGTAATATTTTAATTAATAACTAAGCCAAAAATAGGAGCATATCTGATGATGTGGCTGAGAGTTGCATGTGCTGAAGAAGATCGAGATGTTTAGGAGAAGATACATGACCACGCAGATTAGAGGAAGAGATATGGATAACCATTAAATGTAGCGTAAGTTGCAAAATCAGGCAGACCTGTAGGACTGAGGTCTACTGACAACACATTCTGCTACAATTTGGAGTTCATTCAGCTAGAAGTGTCACAAGATTTTCTGGTTGTGGAAGTTCAGATGTGAACTGTCAATGAAAAAAAGAAGCTGTGGTTTTTCAGTGAATTGGGATTGTGTCCTAGAAAGGAAACAAAACATTCACACTATTGTATTATGTTAACTATGCTCCCTGCCTGGGTATAATGTTTATCTATGTTCTGTTTAAGGTCACTATCAGTGGACAAAGTGTAATTATTTTTAAAAATTACACTTTCAGTTGTAATTTTTAGGGTGTAGGCAACCTTCAGTCACCTATACAGCTTGAAAAGCTACAAGGCATATGCTGTTCCTAATTAGATCAGTGAACAGTTGTACATTTCACAGAAAATAGAAAATAAAAATCACCAAGTCATAGAATTTCTGCAGCTTGATAATTTATCTTTTTGTGCATCTATAGGTCTTCATTTTAGCTACAGGAAATCAGCCTTTCTCATTTTATTTTATTGACTGTCATTTTTGTAGTCTCTAAGGTATTTGTCT